ATTAAAAGTTATGATACAGAAAACAAAAGAGGCTGATCTGGAGAAGGCATTTGACAACATCAGCCTTGACTATCTGTAAAAGTTCAGCTCTTTACTACACTGGATCAAAACCTTTTATAATAAAACTAATTGTAGAATTATCAATAACGGATATATCTCTGGGACTATACCTCTGCTTAGAGGCCTAAAACAAGGGTGCCCTCTTTCACCATACTTATTTATTATTGCTATGGAAATATTGGCTATTAAAGTTAGATTGAATAATGAAATAGAAGGGCTTTGGAATAGCAATATTGAAAGTGTATGCAGACAATACAAGCTTCTTTATTAACCCAAATGTTTATTGCCTACAAAACTTTCTAAACCTCTTGGACATCTTTTCACATCAATCTGGGCTTAGGCTTAACTATGATAAGTGTAAAATATTAAGAATCGGGAGCTTAAAAGGAACACCTTTAGAATGGAATGCAGAGTACCTGTGATGTGGACAGATGGACCTGTTAACATACTCGGTGTTGTGATCCCAGAAAATCTGGATGTCCTAGGTTCAATAAACTATGATAACAAACAAAGAAAGCTGGATAAAATTATGCATTTATGGAAAGGAAAATCCTTAAAGTAGCAGTATGTAATATTTGCATGTCAAGTCATCATTAAATGGCCCCATATTTCGAAAGGCTTTATTAAATCATGCTCTTTTCGTATACATCTTTAACTGATAACAGTAGTTCAGCCGAGATATTTGATTATCAAAGTTAGTTTTACGACCCGTAAAAGTTGTTATTGTTTTGATTTTGATGTCCTACCCTCCGCCGTTTCGCCAATCAGGAAGTGTCATGTAAGTCCGTGATCGGGTTGCCAGAACTCCGCGCGGCTCACTAATCTCAGAGGTAAAATAACATGTGGCCGCAGAACTAAAAAAGGTCTTGTTATGACTCTCAAATAATTAATGACAAAACAAAGACTAAAACGAGGGTTTATATTGGAACGCCTTTGAACAATTGAGACGGCTGATAAAAGTTTACGTGTGATGCAGAATTTACCGGTTTCACTCCGTTCTTCAGAGTGATTTTGACCGCGCGAATCGGTGGTCTAGTGGTTTAACCTGTGCGCTTACGATGCAGGAACCCAGGTTTGATTCCAGGTTGAGTCTTTTTGTATTTAATTGCATGTTATCACATTCTATGACAGATTGCTCTAAAAACGGTAAAAGACGAAGGTCAAGATGTTTTTTTATAGATTATAGTTTAATTGTAAAAAGAATAATTTGAGACCACATGTACCCCAATTAAAATAATGTTAGTCTCTTTTTGATGTGGGACTTAGACATGTTTGTCTAAAAAAAGGGAATAAATAAAATGGAAAGGTGATATCCTCTGGAGCAAACCCTGATGTTGATACGCTGAAGAAATACGTTCCAACATCCATTCTTCCCACTCCTATTTTGGACATCAATTGCTTATTTATTTTGGATAATCTATAATTACATTGCTTTTATTTTGTTTTGTGTTTTTTATCTCGAATGTCCAAATAGAATAAAAAAATTAAACATTCATTCAACATTAGCATGCTTCATGGCAATGTGAATGGAGACAGACAACTGATGAAATAATTCCCTGTGTTTGCTGCTGGATTTGGTGTGTATCTGGCAACCTGAGTCAGGGAGAGTGGGAGAGGACTACAAAATATTGACTGTGACTGCAGTACCACTTTTGGCCAGATTTTTACATATTGTTCCTTTAACCCTATATGGTAAAATATCCATTATAAATTCCCTAATCATTCCTCAATTTATATATTCATTTTCATCATTACCAGCTTCCTCCCAACTTTTCTTTAAGGTTTACGAACAAAAGGTCTTTGATTTTATTTGGGATGGCAAACCAGAAAAGATTAAAAGATAGATTTTGTACAATGAATATGAACATGGGGGTCTGAAACTTCTCAACCTTGAAGCTTTGTGTTTATTGTTAAAGGCATCAATTGTTTCCAAAATGTATCTTAACAGCGAGTGTCCTGTTGGAGAAAAAACATGTACTGTACCAAAGGAAATTACATCCATTTTTACAAGTGATTCCCTAACATTTTCCTTGCGAAAGTATTTGAACCTTGAACCTTTCAACATTTCGCCACATTTCAGGCTTCAAATATAAAGATATTAAAAAAAAAAATTTTGTCTAGAATCAACAACAAGTGGGACACAATCGTGAAGTGGAACGAAATTTATTGGATAATTTAAACTTTTTTAACAAATAAAAAACTGAAATGTAGGGCGTGCAATATTATTCGGCCCCCTTGCGCTAATACTTTGTAGCGCCACCTTTTGCTGCAATTACAGCTGCAAGTCGCTTGGGGTATGTCTATCAGTGTTGCACATCGAGAGACTGGATTTCTTGCCCATAACAGCTCGAGCTCAGTGAGGTTGGATGGAGAGCGTTTGTGAACAGCAGTCTTCAGCTCTTTCCACAAATTCTCGATTGGATTCAGGTCTGGACTTTGACTTGGCCATTCTAACACCTGGATACGTCTATTTGTGAACCATTCCATTGTAGATTTGGCTTTATGTTTTGGATCATTGTCCTGTTGGAAGATAAATCTCCGTCCCAGTCTCAGGTCTTTTGCAGACTCCAACAGGTTTTCTTCCAGAATGGTCTTGTATTTGGCTCCATCCATCTTCCCATCAATTTTAGCCATCTTCCCTGTCCCAGCTGAAGAAAAGCAGGCCCAAACCATGATCCTGCCACCACCATGTTTGACAGTGGGGATGGTGTGTTCAGGGTGATGAGCTGTGTTGCTTTTACACCAAACATATCGTTTTGCATTGTGGCCATAAAGTTCGATTTTGGTTTCATCTGACCAGAGCACCTTCTTCCACATGTTTGGTGTGTCTCCCAGGTGGCTTGTGGCAAACTTTAAACAAGACTTTTTATGGATATCTTTGAGAAATGGCTTTCTTCTCGCCACTCTTCCATAAAGGCCAGATTTGTGCAGTGCACGACTGATTGTTGTCCTATGGACAGACTCTCTCACCTCAGCTGTAGTTATCTGCAGTTCATCCAGAGTGATCATGGGCCTCTTGGCTGCATCTCTGATCAGTCTTCTCCTTGTTTGAAATGAAAGTTTTGGAGTTTTTTGACACCCTATTCAAATCAATGGCTTGTGCTCAGTAGCACATGGGAAAGCCATGGGAACCAAAAGATTAGCAGAACTCGTCCATATTTGGGCCAAATTCGAGTGTGTGGCTCTCATGCATGCACAGAGGGGCTCGGCCGCGTTTTGACCAATCAGCGGCTGTTCAATTCAATTCAATAACTTTATTAATCCGTGAGGAACTTCATTTACAGACAGAGCACCAGTGGGGGCACACAAAAACACAGACACGCAATCTAAGAATAAATACAGTAAAAGAGCAGAAATGCAATATAAAACACATAAAACAGGTCACCAATTCAGCTGTTTAAAAGGCGTTAATCAGAGCGGTGCTAGAGCGAGAGGAAAATGAGCAGAATTTGTTGCATTAAAGTGTAGATATATAGAAAACCATAGGATATAACAAAAAAAGTTCAGGATGACAAGGAACATTAAGATCTACACAAAATCCGACCTTTATGAAAGCTGTAGGTTCAAGCCGTTTTATAGTTTAAATTGAGTTCTATGGGACATTTTTCTGGGTAGCCCACATTTAGTCTGTAGTATCACGGGCGACCCCTGTGCCCATTGGTGGGACAGGTATAAGCCAGTAATACTCTATCCCGATATATTTGTAGATCCATGCCCTGGCCCCCTACCATAAACCCCCCTACTATGGCTCCGATTGGTCCTGGTCCTACTAAGACCCTGGTCCTACCATGGCTTTAATTGGTCCTGGTCCAACCAAGACCCTGGGGTCCTACCATAGCTCCGATTCGTCCTGGTCCTACCAAGACCCTGGTCCTACCAAGACCCTAGTCCAGGGGTCGGCAACCCGCGGCTCCAGAGCCGCATGCGGCTCTTTAGTGCCCCTCGAGTGGCTCCTGGAGCCTTTTCAAAAATGTCTGAAAATGGAGTGGGAGGGGTATGTTTTATTTCTAGTTTCAATGTGGTTTCTGTAGGAGGGACAACATTCTTAACCTTTTCCAATGTAGTAAAAATGTGCATGAGAAATATTCAATTTAAACATTTCTGTCAACTGAGATTTGCGTCATATCCTGCGACGCGCGGTTACGCGGTCCCGCGCTGGGCGGCCGCTGTTGTAAACAAACCGGCATGCGCCACATGAATCTCAAAGCTATATTGAGAAAGAGTTGATAAGAACCGGGAATTCAGGGAAGAATGGACTGGAACATTTGCTTTCATTGTCAATGAGGAAGGACTGCTTCCTTTTTGCTTTGTGAGAATATATTGAAGAACAAAAGGAGTCATGTGGAAAATTGGCTGCAGACCCCAGTTTGGAGAGAAACAGTGCGATCGCAGTTATTCTGGAGCGGATTCATCTCCAAACTTCTACTGCTGAATTTTGTTGCAACACGTGGAACAAAGAAGTGCGAAACACCGTTTGGGACATTCAGCTCCAGCCAGCTCCAGCCAACTCCAGCCGTGACGACGTGTGACGTGATCGATATAAACAGACAGTGCTGCAATGCAGGTATGAGAACTGAGCCAAAAAACGGATTAATTTACTGTATTTCTGCAATTGCATGAATGCAACAAAAGGAAAGTTAAACTTAAAGCATATTTCGTATAGCAGAGTAGTCACATGGTGCGTCATTCTCTTGCACTACAGTGAAAATACATATAATAATCATGAATGCATATTATGTATTTGTAGCCTATACTTACTCATTTTGATAGTAGGCTAATACAGCTCACAGCCTGTGTTGCTTTCATATAAGCCTTATACAAGGCAATTACGTTTATGCGGCTCCAGACAGATTTGTTTTTTGTATTTCTGGTCAAATATGGCTCTTTGAACTTTTTGAGTTGCCGACCCCTCTACCAAGACCCTGGTCCTACCATCTTACCTTGGTCCTGATTGGTCCTGGTTGGATGATGTTAAACCTCAGTCCGTATCGTCCCCATTCAGACGTCAGCGACCTGCGACATGTCATAATAATGATGTCAGAGTTATAACAGTAGCAGCAGTAATAATAATATTAATGAAATAATAGGATTATTAACGCTGGAGGGGCGACAGTGGCTCAGTTGGTAGAGCATTGGCCTTTGGGCTTGAAGGTCGTGGGTTCGAGTAGGAGTACACACTGTAGTTAGCCGCAGTCATGTTTCACATTTACAGATGGTTGGAAACCTCCTTTGTGGTATCCGTGCCCAAGACCTCAGCGACTTCAGGCCGGTGGCTTTGACATCTCGTCTCATGAAGACACTGGGGAGACTGGTCCTAGGACATCTCCACTCCACTTTGAGCCCAGCAACGGACCTGCTGCAATTTGCGTACCGGTCAGGCATTGGAGTGGAGGGCGCCATTACCCTTCTGCACCGCTCGCTGTGCCACCTGGGGAAGCCCGGCTCTGCTGTGAGAATCCTCCTCTTTGATTTTCTCCAGTGCCTTCAACACCATCCAGCCGCGGCTTCTCAGGGACAAGCTGGAGACAGCTGGAGTAGACTATGACCCAGTGAATCCTGGACTACCTCACATACAGACCCCAGTTAGTGAGAACCAGGGACTTAATGTCTGATTGTCCACACGCTCACACTCTACACTGCGGATTTCAGACACAACACAAGTTCATCTGAACCCCTAACTGGACTCACAGATTTTTGGAGTGCAGGGGCCACTCCTAAAGACCTTCTATGACACTGTGGTGGCATCAGCCTCTTGTACGGTGTGGTATGCTGGAGCAGCAGCATCACAGAGAGGGACAGGAAGAGGCTGGAACAGATCCTCAGGAGTCCAGCTCTGTCCTGGGCTGTTCCCTGGACACAGTGCAGCAGATGGGAGACAGTAGGGTCCTGAACAAATTAACATACATACCATGTATGTTAATTTGAAAATGACCATGACTGTCACCCTCTGCATGACACTGTCTGCTCTGGAGAGCAGTTTCAGTGACAGACTTGTTAACCCCCGCGCTGTGTGAAGGGCAAGTTCCGCAGGTCTTTCCTTCCTGCGGCTGTCAGACTGTACAGTTGTCGCGTTTCTACCACAGAAGTTCCTGGTAAAAAGAGCGGGGTTGAACTTCTACTTCCTCTCCCTCTGTTCTCTCAGTGGCCGTGTCTACACTGCAGAGGTGGACCACCCGGCGACGTCATGAGTTTCGATTTCCGTATAAGCGAAACTCATTATGCCAAACCCATTTGTTTATTTTACGGTCGTAACCGCTCTGGTTGTTGTGATCTTTGAGATTTTTATAGTCCTGCTTCAGTTTTTTTTTTACTTTTCACGGTTTGTTTTGGAGTGTCATGAATCCCCAGTGCTTCGAGGTGAACCTGATATGAAGCTGATATAAGGTAATTTGGCACTTTACAGCCGTAGCCGCCCCACTGTGGCTGGTGTTCCCAGAAGTTAAGTGTCTTGCCAAGGACACAACGACAGCAGATATCAGTGGGAGTTGATGGAGAAACCCACGACCTTCTGGCTCAAAGGCCAATGCTCTACCAACTGAGATACTGTCGCCTCCATATATCTTTTCCTTTCGCTGCGATGCCTCAAACCCCGTCAATCAATGCTGTGCTGTTGTTTGCCATTTCCAGTGGTGTCTACTAGGCTAATGCAGCTGGGCTAATGCTGCTGGATTTATAAAATGCCAGTTGTTTTGCAGCTTTCTGCTGGCGTCAGAGCCTTCGCGAGCTTTAGCCAATCAGCGCCATGTTGACTTCAAGCACCACCAGGAGCTGTTCAAGACCCAACGGAGTACTTAGTATGGAGGAGGGACTCCGTTGGGCGCCGTAAAAGCTCCTGCAACTTCCCTTCTTTCGGAAGTTCCTGCAGTGGAGACATGCACCGACGGGGACGGCCCTGGAAAATTACCCCAAAGTTTCTGCGATGGAAATGCGGCCATCAAATGTGGGTATAGACCATAGACTGTATAGAAACATCATGGTGTCATTAGGATGATGATAAACAATCTGTAAATATTTTGTAAATTTGTTCATGTAAATACTCTATGCTGTTTCTCTGTTTACTTTCGGTATATCTATGACTGTATACCGTTTGCTTGTATTGCCTTTTTTATTAACCCCTCCCCCCCATCTCCCACTTCATGTCCCCCCCCCCCTCCAAGCCCTGGCCAGCCGCCTACAGAGGTACACTAAAGAGAATGAAGCCAGAAGGGTGAACAGGCTGTTCGCAACACAACCTGCGAAGGTGTACGCTCAGTGGCAGGGTAACAACAGGGGAGCAGACCCACCGAGGCTGGAAACTGAACAGTTCTGGAAGAACATATGGGAGAACGGTCCTGATCATGAAGGACCCTGTCAAGGGTGCAGTCCCCTCCAACTACCGGCCAATAAACTGTCTCTCCACAACATGGAAGCTCATGTCAGGCATCATTGCGGCTAAGATAAGTGGGCATATGGAACAATTCATGAGCACAGCACAGAAGGGCATTGGTAGGGACACCAGAGGAGCCAAACACCAGCTCCTGGTTGACTGAACAGTCGCCCAAGACTGCCGGTCACGACACACCAACCTGTGCACAGTCTGGATTGATTACCAGAAAGCCTACACCTCAATGCCACACACATGGATCATGGAATGCTTGAAGTTGTACAATATCAACAGGGCTCTAAGGGACTTCGTTGCAAACTCGATGGGAATGTGGAAGACCACCCTTGAGGCAAATGGCAAGCCGCTCGCACAAGTGACCATCAAATGTGGTATCTACCAAGGAGATGCTCTGTCCCCACTACTGTTCTGCATAGGCCTCAACCCTCTAAGCCAAGTAATTGACCAGACTGGCTATGGATACCGCCTCAGGAACGGAGCAAAGATCAGTCACCTCCTCTACATGGATGACATCAAGCTGTACGCCAAAAGCGAGAGAGACATCGACTCTCTGATCCAAACAACCAGGATGTACAGCCATTACATCGGGATGTCATTCGGACTCGAGAAATGTAGCAGGATGGTGACTCGGAGAGGCAAGGTAGTCCACACAGAAGGGATCTCACTCCCAGAGGGAACAATAGCAGACGTTAAGGACAGTTACAAGTATCTCGGTATACCACAGGCAAATGGCAACCTCGAACAGGTGACGAGGAAAGCGGCAACTGCCAAATACCTCCAGCGAGTAAGGCAGGTCCTAAGAAGCCGGCTCAATGGCAAGAACAAGGCCCGGGCAATTAACAGCTAGGCCCTGCCAGTGATCAGATACCCTGCAGGAATAATCAGGTGGCCAAAGGAAGAGATTCAGACCACGGATGTTAAAACTCGAAAGCTCCTTACCATGCATGGCGGGTTCCATCCCAAATCCAGCATCCTGAGACTGTACGTAAGCCATAAAGAAGGAGGCCGAGGACTAGTGAGTGTAAGAGCCACTGTCCAGGACGAAACATCCAAACTCCATAACTACATCATGGAGAAGGCCAAAACTGATGACGTACTCAGTGAATGTCTCAGGCAGTGGCGAGATGAGGAGGTGCTGGAGGAGAGCCCATCATGGGAGAACAAGCCCCTACACGGCATGTACCACCGGAGCATAACAGAAGTGGCTGATCTCAAGAAGTCCTACCAATGGCTAGAAAGGGCTGGCCTACAGGACAGCACAGAGGCACTCATCATGGCTGCACAGGAACAGGCCCTGAGCACCAGAGCGATAGAGGCCCAGATATACCACACCAGACAAGACCCAAGGTGTCGGTTGTGCAAAGAGGCACCTGAGACGATCCAACACATAACTGCAGGGTGCAAGATGCTGGCAGGGAAGGCCTACATGGAACGCCATAACCAAGTGGCTGGCATAGTGTACAGAAACATCTGTGCAGAGTATGGGCTGGAAACCCCAAGGTCTAAGTGGGAAACTCCTCCAAAGGTGGTGGAGAATGAGTGTGCGAAGATCCTGCGGGACTTCCAGATACAGACCGACCGAGTGGTAATGGCAAACCAACCTGACATCGTGGTGGTAGACAAAGGGCAGAGGACAGCCGCGGTGGTGGACGTGCCAATTCCAAGCGATGGTAACATCCGGAAAAAGGAACATGAAAATCTTGAGAAATACCAAGGTCTCAGAGAGGAGCTGGAGAGGGCCTGGAGGGTAAAGGTGACAGTAGTGCCCGTGGTGATCGGTGCACTCGGGGCAGTGACCCCGAATGTAGAAGAGTGGTTACAGCGGATCCCCGGAACAACCTCGGACATCTCGGTCCAGAAATGTGCAGTGCTAGGAACAGCAAAGATACTGCGCAGAACCCTCAAGCTCCCAGGCCTCTGGTAGAGGACCCGAGCTTAGAGAGGGATAACCGCCCGCGGAAGGCCAAAGGTGAGTGGACAATTTTTTTTTTTATACATACACATACATACATTTAGATTTAAATTTTTTCTGTTGAAAGATTTGATATTGAAGCATTTACAGCTAGCTAAGAAACATTACTTATTTTGTACATATTGTGTGCTTCCGGTGTGCTATTACTACTGAATACAATGGTTTGTATTTTGCCTGGTCTTGCCAGCTAGATCGCTGTGAAAGACTACTGGTTTAAAGCTGCACTAACTGACTTTATTTTCGTATTCATTACGAAAATGCTATCCATGTCCATGTAGTCCATTGGGATATACGTCCTTTGAAGAATAATTAGCGCAGATTTGTGCTGGCGTGACATTATATTTTAGATCGAGTTTTGATGAAACAAGGAAGAGAATGTGTTTCGGGTCGCAGATTGTGACCAATCACAACGGACCACTGGCCCCCACTTTCGTGAGAAATCTACAGGTCTGTTAGCATAGACGGCTGAGTTAGCACAACAAGCCGAGGAGCTAACCTGAAGCTTCGTGTCTTCATCACCGGTTACTGCTTACTTAGCGAAACAGCCATCCAAAAGAAAGTCCCATTCCTCCGCGCTTCCCGGTTCTATCGTTTTATGGTCACGCCATCCACGTGCAAATCCATATTCATGTATTATCCATATTGGGAGACACTAGCTCCGTCCCAACAGTGAGTGTGTGTGGGGGGCGATAGCTTCGTGGGTGCGGGGAGGGGAGCAGAAAGAGAGAGGCCAGCGAGTCCGCGGCTTCAAAATCCCAAAGTCAGTTAGTGCAGCTTTGACTAGTGCAAAATGCCAAAATGGATGTTAACCAACTTCTGAATGGAAAGTTTAGTTTCAAAAGTTGAAATACCACTTGATGGCCGAACACACGGATGATGCAAACTCTCCATCTCCGCCGCGATTTTGTCATGACATATGGATAGCGCAACTAAGAACAAACTGTTAGCACTTTGCTACTTTATTTTGTATCACCCCATTTTGATTCCTGAGAAAAAGAAATTGAATGGGCTTTTTTGTTTCCAATCATACATGTTATGCATCTGTTTGACAGCATTGAATGAAATTTTTCATCAATCACGAAAAATAACATGTTTTCAATAAAAAAAACAATTGCACTCTGTAAGTTGATTCACTTTTCCACGTTGATAAGAGCATTAAAATGATATTTTGAGGGATAAAAAGATAAAAAATGTGTGATTAACCGTGCAAATATTTGCTATTAAAATACAGTACCTTGCAAAAGTATTCGGCCCCCTTGAACCTTTCGCCACATTTCAGGCTTCAAATATAAAGATATAAAAATTTAATTTTTTGTCAAGAATCAAGAACAAGTGGGACACAATCGTGAAGTGGAACAACATTTATTGGATAATTTCAACTTTTTTAACAAATAAAAAACTGAAAAGTGGGGCGTGCAATGTTATTCGGCCCCCTTGCGATAATACTTTGTAGCGCCACCTTTTGCTGCAATTACAGCTGCAAGTTGCTTGGGGTATGTCTCTATCAGTTTTGCACATTGAGAGACTGGAGTTCTTTCCCATTCTTCCTTGCAAAACAGCTCGAGCTCAGTGAGGTTGGATGGAGAGCGTTTGTGAACAGCAGTCTTCAGCTCTTTCCACAGATTCTCGATTGGATTCAGGTCTGGACTTTGACTTGGCCATTCTAACACCTGGATACGTCTATTTGTGAACCATTCCATTGTAGATTTGGCTTTATGTTTTGGATCATTGTCCTGTTGGAAGATAAATCTCCGTCCCAGTCTCAGGTCTTTTGCAGACTCCAACAGGTTTTCTTCCAGAATGGTCCTGTATTTGGCGATGTAACCCAGGTGTAAAACCAAATTCCTAATTTAAATGTAAACCACAAAGGAATGGCTAACATATTTAAGTACTAAATGAAAATGTGTACTTTGTTTATTTATTTATTTGTATATGTGCCAACACAATGCACTGTAGTGCAGCATATAAGTTGCGTAGCAACAGCCAAAACGTTACGTTCAGATCCACGGTGCACGCGACCCCGCTTCCCCTCTCTGACTGGAGTCAAGCAACGAGACACACGCAAAGCTCAGCTCCATCATTTCAACAATTCAAAAGCGCAAATCAGAGGAAAAATGACATCAATCCAAGCCAAAAGAAGAGTCCTGTTGCTGGCCTGGAGTTAAAGTTGACTGATCGGTAAGAGTTACTTTGTAGTGACCACCGCAACTTTAACGTCCGCAAATGACCAACGGCCGCTACACTAACGGACCTCCTCACTGTTTTAGAGCAGAGAAAAGAGAGAAAGACAAGCTGAGCGCAGATTCCGACACCGATCCGCAAAGGAACGAGAGAGGATTGGTAAAGAATTGCTTGATCGAGGATGTGTTGGCTGTTTGTCTCAATGTTCTAACCGGTCCATATTGATGACAGAGGCAGTTATCTGCGCGAGCGCTCACATCCAGAGCCGTGACGTCACTGTGTCCCGGCTCATACGCGCGTGAATCGGTGAGAAATGTTGTCTGTGACTAAAATGCTATTGTTTATTGTATAAAGGGTTGAAATAATCCTATTAATGGTTTATGTATATGAATAATTAGAAAATGTTTGCATACAGAAAATCTCTTTGTTGCTATGTACTGTACATGAGAAATATGTTGTACCTTTGAATTAGAATTAGATTAATTGTCATGACTGGAGCAAGAAATTTATTAGCCTGTCTTTTTAATACAGGTCAGGTCTTTTTAATGAGATTTGGAAACATCTTTGAAGAAGACCACTAGATGGCGAGCCACCCCACCTGAGCCAAAACTGGATGATCCCATTGCAGACCGCATGAGCTATCGGCTGCGTAGGACCGTGTCAGCTGACCACCTTGAACAAAACTTTAAGTGCACTCACAGACTTTAAGGATTTATTTTTGGGTTATTTTAAAGGCGCCTATTTATTTTGTATTTTATTTTACATTACATTTGTGGTAACAATTCTTGACATAATTAACTAAATAAATTTACATTTAACTATTGTCTGTCTTTCATTGTGGCTATAGTTCCAACACTTTACATTTGAGCTCTTTAAGAACCTAGTCGTTCATGTTAATTCCAAAGTGGGTTACAGCTCCATCCATCTTACCATCAATTTTAGCCGTCTTCCCTGTCCCTGCTGAAGAAAAGCAGGCCCAAACCATGATGCTGCCACCACCATGTTTGACAGTGGGGATGGTGTGTTCAGGGTGATGAGCTGTGTTGCTTTTACGCCAAACATATCGTTTTGCATTGTGGCCAAAAAGTTCGATCTTGGTTTCATCTGACCAGAGCACCTTCTTCCACATGTTTGGTGTGTCTCCCAGGTGGCTTGTGGCAAACTTTGAACGAGACTTTTTATGGATATCTTTGAGAAATGGCCACTCATCCATAAAGGCCAGATTGGTGCAGTGCACGATTGATCGTTGTCCTATGGACAGACTCTCCCACCTCAGCTGTAGTTATCTGCAGTTCATCCAGAGTGATCATGGGCCTCTTGGCTGCATCTCTGATCAGTCTTCTCCTTGTTTGAGATGAAAGTTTGGAGGGACGGCCAGGTCTTGGTAGATTTGCAGTGGTCTGATACTCCTTCCATTTCAATATAATTGCTTGCACAGTGCTCCTTGAGATGTTTAAAGCTTGGGAAATCTTTTTGTATCCAAATCCGGCTTTAAACTTCTCCACAACAGTATCTCGGACCTGCCTGGTGTGTTCCTTTGTCTTCATGGTTCTCTCTGCGCTTTAAACAGAACCCTGAGACTATCAAAGAGCAGGTGCATTTATACGGAGACTTGATTACACACAGGTGCATTCTATTTATCATCATCAGTCATTTAGGACAACATTGGATCATTCAAAGATCCTCACTGAACTTCTGGAGTGAGTTTGCTGCACTGAAAGTAAAGGGGCCGAATAATATTGCATGCCCCACTTTTCAGTTTTTTATTTGTTAAAAAAGTTTAAATTATCCAATAAATTTAGTTCCACTTCACGATTGTGTCCCACTTGTTGTCGATTCATGACAAAAAATTCAGAAGTCTGAAATGTGGCGAATTGTTGAAAGGTTCAAGGGGGCCGAATACTTTCGCAAGCCACTGTATGTAATCTTTGGACAGCACTAGGGACAACCAATCAGAAAGCAGCAAAGTGATCACAGAGACTCAAGCCGGTCAGAGAAAGAAGAAGACAAAGACATAAAAACAACCAAACAAGAGCTAAACCAGGACTGACAATTTGCCGATATAAAAGTACTGGTTAATAATAGAATACATCCATGGTGCAGGTCCGTAAACAGATACTCCTGCAATACGACAGGTGTCCTGAGGATCTCAGGACAGACACAACACAGGGCTAAACTCGTTAGCATTAAAGCCCGCTCACCACTTGCACCCTGCATTTTACAGCGTTCCGATTCATGTGACTGGTGCTTTCATTACTTGACACTGCAACCCTAAATAACCTAGTCAACTTGATTGATTTAGGACACGTATGTTGGCCGTGACACATTCCAAGCCAGTAAGTTGTATTGATTTGATTAAGGTGAAAACATAGCTGGAGATGTGAGATAACATTTTTGAGGTTGTAATAAAAATTAAAAAAAGGTTGTGGGGAGGGGCTTTCCCACTGATGGCTCGTGCCCTTAGCGCTCACAGCCCACCCCCTCAAATTAATATCAGGCAGAAACCCTGAGCAAGTAAAATGACTATTGAATTATTAGAACAGGTGGATGGCCCATGTCCACAACCTCTCCTTCACACAGCTACACCCAGGTACTTGTAAGGGCTGGAGCGGGAGAGTGACTGTGTCTGTGGAAACGCACCACCATCTCCTTGCTCTCCTCTGTGTTGAGATGGTTCCGCTGACACCTATCTACAAAGTCCTGTGCGAGTACTGTGTCATTGTCCCCAGTAGTAGCAGTCGTAGCAGCAGCAGTAGAAATGGCAGTAGCAAAAATTATAATAGTACTTCTTACTTGTACAGTGCCTCGACTCCTGCTTTTGCTGAAGCTGACGGAACCACAAACCCAGACCCAGACTCCGCATAGATCGTGGTGATGGCAACGAAGGCAGCTCCTGTAAGACCAGGTGATGATGCAAATGTATGCTACTGCTAATAATAATTCCTGAAGTCCTCCTCCATTGGTCTCACCTTTGCCCTGCTGGATCAGTCTCTTCCCGAGCTCGAGGGTGACGTAGGCCGTGCCATTCAGAACAATGTCCACAATGGTCCTCCAGCCGTTTGGACTCAGGCGCTCAGAAGGACTCACAAAGTTCCCCGCAGCATTGTTGATCACCACCTGGTGTCCACAAGAGGAACTAAACCTGGTGTCCACCATGGGAACCACACCTGGTGTCCACCAGAGGAACTACACCTGGTGTCCACCAGAGGAACTACATTCTGCATTCATCTGAGAGTGCTGTGAACACAAGGGTCTCGGTCTGCACCGGGTTCTGGGTCTCCCCTGGACCAGACCTGGGTCTCACCTGTGGAAGTCCAGTGAGTTTTTCCATTTGATCCAAACACTGAGTTACGGCTTGAGGGTCTCTGACATCACACTGCAAAGGGAAGACCTGCAGAACAAGCCACACTAGAGTCACACCAGAGCCATGCGCACCTCCGCAGCAGAGAAGGCTTGCATCACCCTGCAGAGCGTACAGAGATGCATATGCTGCGCACTCCATATCTATAGAGAGGTGTAGAGACTGAAGGAGATAGATCAGGGTGCACTGTCTGGGGCTAATGCATGTGTGGGTCCACAGCACTTGCTCACTCAAGGTCATGTATTACAGTTTACCATTCGTCCATATTTTTTTTGCTGCACTATTTGTATCAAAAAATCACTTAAAAATGCACTACTGGATCATGCATGTGAGACCTCTTCAGTAAAGGCGCGCCTGTAACTCTAAAAGGACCCACTCAGTGTTCATGGTTTTACACTGATCCATACCAAAGCAGAGAGGATGTATGGCTCGAACCAAGCTGTTAATTTTGTGGAAACTAACAAAGCATTCAGCATTTTACTTGGACCAGAGCACAGAAAATGGTCCAAACCAAGCGGCTGACCACCACTGCTACTTTGACCCGTCCTGCTCCACCCAGAGGCTACACCATCTCTGCTGCTATGAACTGAAGTGCTGTTTCTTAAATTTAATATCATTATTGTTAGATTGATCAATTTATTTGTTTTTGCTCCTACTGGACACCAGAATTTTTCCAACAGGGATTGTTAAAGTTTCTATCAACCGCCGATACCATTAGCACAAACATGTTTACTCTACTTTTTTGACAGAAAAAAAAAAAGATGCAAGGCTCATATTTAGGAGTGACGATCACAGCTCCTACACTTTTCCCTATCAAATGACGCCTATGGGGTGTAGAGGCAAGTAGAGTCACATCAGAGTCATATACTTCATAAATAAAACAAACTTTGTTCCCTGTTTGTGCTGTGATCTCCTCTGCAGTCTTCTGCAGAACGTCCAGTTTCCTGCAACCAGTTAGAATCAGTTACAACCAGATAAAACCTGGATTAGGTCATAGGTCATACCGGCTGGCAATGACACAGGTGGCCCCCAGCTCGCTCAGCCCGTGGGTCATGGCGCGGCCCAGACCAGTTCCTCCTCCAGTGATGAAAGCCACGCGGTTCTGAAAGGAGTGAGGAGGGAGCATGGTGCCCTCTGAGGGGGGGAAGAAGGATGCCTGAGGAAGAGGAGGAGCATCACGGAGGAGAGAGGAGGAGTGGAAGAGGCGCACCTGGAACACAAAAACAGGAACTAGAACATGGACAAGAGCTGAAAACAGGATATTTTGGCTCTGATGAACATCATTAAAATGAGAAAAGGCTTGGGGTACTTGTCAAATAAACAGATACAATGGATCTTTTGTTGGGAGAGTTGTTAGGGTGTAGGACTCCTGCAGCAGAATAACAGTCTATCATAATAGTCGTTATTTTGTCCGGAGAGTTCAGCAGTGAAAGTGGGTGAAAGTTCGTGTGACTTCTCTGCCAGGTTTAGAGCTCTGAAGGCGGTCACTGATCACCCTTAGACCCTGCTGCACCCACACTGCCAGATCCCGTCGACCCAGGTTAAAACTCTTGTTTTGACCCGTTCGCACCTTTCGTCCGTATCTGAGCCCACTAAGCAGAGCCCAGTTTCTGCTGAAGACTGCTCCTGCCGCCATCTTGACTCGGAAACGCACATGCCATTGCGCATGCGCACTACGGCCTTCATGTAATCTCCATAGTAACCAAAGAGCGTCAAGGGGAAAAAACGGGTATTTTTTACTATACAAATTAACAGAATACACAACACGCAGAGAGTTAAGTTTGTCTTCTGGCTAGACGGCTGCAAAGTTCAAAATAAGATCTCCTCTGTGTTCATTCAAAATGAGCTTTAGTGAGAAAATGCAACTGTCGGGTTTATCATATTATCGTACACATTATAATAACGTAAAATATAAAGTAAATAAGATCAAACAAGAAGCTGAAGGAGAAGGATGGGACTGTGTGATCACGGTTGTTTTGTGTATGGGGCTGCCTCTAAAATGCTTTTACAAAAACTTGAAAGAGTACAAACAAAAGCCTTAAAAATCTGCAGTGGTGCTTTTAGGCCACACCTATTCCCTCACTGCTGGTCGAAATGTGAGAGACTCCTCTTGGAATTAGGAGACAAAAACTGGGGCTTCAGTATTGGGCAAGATTAGCTGGATTAAAGCATGATTCGTCTGAAAAATGCCTATTGAATGAACATTGGGAGTTTGATAAAAGAAAAGAAAATAATATGTTTTTGTGTAGGGTAAAATAGATTGCGAAGAGGGAGGGTTTAGAGAATTGTGCGGCCATCCATTCCCTTCTGGAGGAGGTCAGAACCTGAAGTGCAGTTGGATTTTTTGGGGATGGTGAAGGTCCAAGTCAAAAGACAAGTGGAGGAGTTTATTAGTGAAAACATGGAGACTGTGCATGTATTTACAGATGGCTCAAAGATTCCAGAGTCTAGACGGGCAGGATTTGGTGTTCATGTAATGAATTGTGATTTTAATTTCAACAGTCGAATAAGTGATGGAATATGGGCTATCCGTGTTCTCTGCTGAGCTTATTGCTATTTGGTGGGCTTTGAAATGGGTATCTATTCAGATTCTGCTGTGGCATTGCAGGCTCTTACTATGGAGCTATCAAAAGGAGCTCGCCCTGACCTGGTACTGGAAGTACTGTCATGTCTCCATACTACAATTGGGTGGATTAAGGGTACATTTTGTTTGGGTTCCAGGACACTGCGGCATTCTAGGAAATGAGATAGCTGATAAATCTGCTAAGCAGTCTATTCAGAAAGAGTCAATAGGCATTAGAGTACCTTTAGGAAAAGTGTTTAAGAAGCTGGCGGATCACGAGTGGCAGGGAGAATGACAACAATAAAACAGAGGAAGACATTATTTCAGGAGTCAACCTTGTGTTAAGACGAGAACAGGTCATTATCTTGAGGCTAAGACTGGGGCACTGTGGGCTCGCTGCCTGCTTAAAAATATAGGATGGAGCGCACAGCCTGCCGGAAATAATTAGAAGAAGAAGATGGGACTGTCGCGGAGTGATGACGTCGCTCGGCGCTTACGCTGGAGTCTTACCGTCGCGCTGCACGGGACAATCAAGAACTTTTACCGAACTAATCCCCCGTGACCATAGACCTCCTTACTCTGTGCCAACCCAGACCGCCCTGTCCACCTGGTTCACCTGCCTGAGAACGAAGACAAGCGACCTACGGCGAACCCTCTACTCGAGTTAGCATCAAGGCTAACCTGCTCAGAGTAACAACAAACACAATACAACTGTTCCATTGGGGACAAGACTCCGGAGACTATCGTAAGAATAGCTTTGCCCAGGGATAGACTACAGTGGGGATAACTTCAACCTCTGGGGACAGGAGACACCAGTGGGGATCGCTTCTGCCTCTGTTGACACATGGATCCCCCCACTGCTTTGGTAGTAGAGCAGGCCAATGTCTCTGTCCCGGTTCTCGGTAATGTCCCCGCTTTCCTCATGAAGCTGTGGACTCTGGTGGAAGATCCACAGACTGATGCACTGATCCGTTGGAGTCCTGTAAGTGACACCTAGACTTCATATAATTATGAGGAACATGTACACATATGCACATATACCCCATGATATACCCACATACATGTGGAACTATACATATAAAGTTGTTGTCTTGATAAACTGTTGCTGTCGTTCTCAGACTGGAGCCAGTTTTCATGTTTTCGACCAGGGCCGTTTTTCCAAAGAGGTTTTGCCAAAGTTTTTCAAACACAACAACATGGCGTCATTCATCAGGCAACTTAACATGTGTAAGTACTGTGTAGAACTGTGGGCTACTGTAAGTACAGAGGACTATTGTGAGCACTGGAGATTACTGTGAGTGCAGAGAATTCTGCAAAAGCACTGAAAACAACTGTTTGATGGGCTGTAGTGTAAGACTCTTCTCTGATTGGCAGACGGCTTCCGGAAGGTGGTGCACTTGGAGGCTGGAGGTTTGGTGAAGCCAGAACAAGACGACACTGAGTTCCAGCATCAGTTTTTCATCAGAGGAAACGAACAGCTGCTGCAGAACATCAAGAGGAAGGTGACCGCGGTGAGTTCTGTGAAAGTACTGCAGAGGTACTGCAGTGTGCGTAACATGTTTTGGTTTATTTCACCCTGTCACTACGTGAATAAATATAATGGGGTCCCACAGGTTCCACCCGGGCGCCAGGTTCTCTCTGGGCACCAGGACGACATCAAAGCCTCTGATGAAGTGACTAGAATCCTGAGCGATGTTCAGATGATGAAAGGAAAACAAGAAACTATCGATTCCAGGATCACCACCTTGAAGCAGTGAGAACCAGTTACTTAAGCTATAGGCTGTAAAAGGAACGTCCCCAGTTTCCTATTCTAAAGGACAGTCAGAGGTCATGGAGACTGGACCTTACAGCGGTCAGACAAGTCTGAAGCAGAAGAGTTAAGATGCTCAGGATTCTAATGTCTTGGAAATTGTGTGTGTCTGTGTGTGCATGTACAGAGAGAACGCTGCCCTCTGGAGGGAGGTGGCCAATCTGCGACAGAAACACCATCAACAGCAGAAAGTTGTCACTAAGGTACTGCCACCCATGTGACCCCATCCACAGGGGTCATGTGATCTTGACATGTTGGTATTCTTACAGATGATCCAGTTCCTGATTTCTCTGGTCCAGAACAACCGCATCATGGGCGTTAAGAGGAAACTGTGAGTCCTGTGCTGAGACAACCGAACATACTGTAGTCCTGGTCAGTGTTCCCTCTTATTTTTCATGGGTCTGAGCAAAAACACAAACCCCCTAAGCGGCACGTGGAGCACTCTGACCAAGAGTCAAACTATTCACTTCCATATACACCTGCTACAGTCCCATTTCTTTTAAGGTACACTGTGTAATAACGCATCTAGCGTTGAGATCTTATATCGCAGTCCAAGGTACTACGGAAGCCTTTGAGTTGAGGAGCACTGTCTGCACTGACATGTAAACAAGAGTTTTACCATGGATCTATTATAATATATAGTTTTATAAACTTAACGTCTGTGGGAGCTTAAAACAACAATGATCAAAGAAGCAGGAGATATACAGAGGCGCGGCAAGACATGGCTAAAAGCTCATGTTAGCTTTAGCGTTAGCCACAGCGTCATATCTGCATCACGGTAAGAAAACGGAACATTCACTCACGCTGCTGATAAAGTATTCTGGTGATTGTTTTGTGGGGATTCTGGGTGTGTTTTATTTGAGGCTCTGTCCTCAGTTTAGTTTAAACTTGTGACATAATAGTTGGACTGCGCTCGGATCGGGTCAAAACATCCTTAGACTGTGTTGCCGATTCTGCCTCGTTTTCATTATTGTCAGTGTGAAAAAAGTTACGTATTGTTCACGTGTGAGTCTGTTGTGTACCAACTACACGATGTGTCTCCTGTTGTGTTAACGCTGTCTTTCGGGGCATGCGATGTTGACACTTTGCTGCTACGACGCTGGACTTTTGCATAATTAATTTTCTAAAAGGTTGTTGTTTGGATCGTTCTTTTATATAACTCTGGTCCCTCATGGTTCCTTCTTCAAACTTGTGAAAGCACGGTGATATCAGTGGCTCATGTGAAGCGAAAGCGCGATTCTCGCATCCTTTTTGTCCCTTATCCACCACTGTATTTCAAGATGGCGCATTGACACGAAGAGCACTCCTCTCTCATGGACACTCAAAAGTTACATTTTAAGCCTATAGCCTGCAGCTGTAAAAATTACACAGGGTAGCTTGAAGTTATTTCATCAACAATCAACAATGATTCAGTTCCATATTCTCCTGATCATGATGCATCCTGACTCAAATTCGGAGTCTTTTATAGATGGTGAAAAAAAACTTTTGGCATCTTAAAACAAAACACATAGGCCTTTAATCATCTAAAGATGATAGTCATATTGGCCCTCATTTATGAAACTTGCGCAGAAAAGGGCAAGACCCAACATGTGAGATCCGCCCAGATCTGAGCGTACGCAGTTGCGGTTGTTGATAAATGCCGCGCTCAAAACTAGCGCATTTATGAAAGTCACGCCGAGAAATATTCAGAAACCGCCTGTTTCATGCCCCATTTTTACAACAGGTCAGCATGAAAGCCGGCCAGCAAGACTAGTTGGCAGCCTCAAAAGGCCTGTTAGTGACACGCACTGAGTTTATATTGAGTTTTGTTTTATAATTTTGTTTAAAAGGAATATACGCTAAATTGTGTATATGCGTTTTTTCCTATAGTGTCTGCAGCAATCATCTCTTGAACTTTTGAAGTGAATGAATAAATGAATCATTGACTGAATGAATGAAGAAATATTAATATCTCAGTGGTGGCTTTCATCATTAACCGGGTGAAGCGTCTGCGGAATCTTCTTGTGAATGCAATGGAGCGATCTCTGTGGGAGAGAAAGGATGCGTACGCTTTTGGGAAGAGTCCGTAATGTCAAAGAGAAACTCTGACTCAAACGTCTGAATGGCGCGCACCACATTTGAAGAGTTTTGTGATGGGACTTCTGTGGCTCCCGCTGAAGTGCCACTGCCTGAAGAGCCATCTTCAGGCTGCTCTTAAACTAATTAAAAAATGCATTGCTTTGAATGAGGCAAAACTAATAGCCATGCGTATTTACGCAGTGCAGGGCGGGTCACACATTAAGTCAGTCAAGTGTATTTGTATATAGGGTTGCCAACCGTCCCTTGAAATACGGAATTGTCCTGTATTATAGAAAAACTATGTGCGTCCCTTATTGAATGGATACGGGATGGCCTTTGTCCCGTATTTTCAGAGCACACACATAGTAATCACAGTTTAAGCATCTACCTTTCGGCCAATCAGTGTCAAAGGGGCGTAGGCTTGATCACCTCCTTGGGTTTAATGTTGACAATCATCAGCGTGGGCCGTGCCCACAGCATCATTACGGCAGAAGTTTGGTAAAGTAGCGTCATATTCCCAGATTCAGACTTACGGGGTCAAGAGCTCACGAAAGCTACTTTGTTAAACAAAAGTAATTGTGCTAAAATGATCATCTCTACGTTGATTTTCAAATCCAATGCGCTGTTTTAATGCAGAGAAATCCATTGAATCCAATGCACTGCAAGCGCAGAGAAAAGCGCGTAGGGACCGTCAACAAATGTCCAGACCAGCTTTGTAAACAAACAAAGCAATGTACACGCACTAAACTCTCAGACTCTATAAATAGTGACCATATCTAACTGCTACAGACTTTGATTTCAAAATTTGTGAGTTTTTAAAAATGGATAATGTTTTTCTTTTTTTAATTTGCTTTTACAGTAAATGGTCTTTACTGTAACACACATAAATAATGTATGTTACAGCATTTGTCTTTATTTTTGTATGACTAATGAGCATGCATTAAGTCTCTTTCCAGCCAAAGAGTTTCACCTGTTTATTCAATTTCATTTTTGACTAAGGATTTGTTTTTTATATGTAGTCAATAAATTACATTTTAAAAACTGTGATTATGAAATTTCAGATTACTGTGTAGATTGAAATTAGGACTAAAAAACGCGATCCACCCAAATGGTGTCCCTTATTTTTTTGTTCTCAAGTTTGCAACCCCATTTGTATAGCGCCTTTCACAGACCAGGATCACAAAGTGCTTCACTTTTTTTTTTAAACATACAGATGAAAATAATACACATACAACTCAGATTTAAAAATGAAGAAACAGAAGAGGGTCCTCATCATGATCTGTGATTTATTCGAAATGTGTGTTTCCAGAGTGTTATGCGCAAATTCAAATTTCGAAATGTGATGCTCCATGAAATTGCAGTTTATAATTTTGCCAGACTGGGAATATGTTTATTGTTGTCCAAATCTTGAATTTCATGCGTGTTTTGGCGGGTGTAAAATTTACACCACCTACTGACTCGGTGTATATTTTGTGCGTACCGTGCGCAAACGTCCTGATTGATAAATGCCGAAAAGTGTAAATTTTTTGCATACGCCTCATTTACACCCTGATTTGGCCGTACGCAAGTTTCATAAATGAGGCCCATTGCCACAAAACCAACTTTCCTCAGCAACAGCCCTCTTTGTGCTGAACTGAACCAACCACAAAGTTACTCTTAACATCAGTGAAATGATACGTGCGAACAACAAAATCACAGCAAAGTGATGGAGGTACTTTGGGTAAAGAGAGGGACTTAAGTAGGACTCTCCTGTTCATTAGTCTCCCTGTTTGTGTGTGCTTGAGTGTCGCACATGCAGTTTAGAGGGAACACTGGTCCAGGTATAGCCCTGGTCCAGCCCTGGTTCAGTCCTGGTTGTGTTTCAGACCTCTGATGTTGGATGATGGGAGCTCTGGTCACTCTCTGCCCAAGTACAGCAGAGGATACAGCGTCCAGGTACTGTCACTGTGATGTCACTGCGAGTGGTACTCGACAATGCTTGTAACTCCTCCTCTTACTCTCTCTTTGCCCCACAGCCTGGCCTGAGCTCTGGACCAATCATTTCTGACATCACAGATGTGGACACGCCCCTCCAAGATGACATCAGCGAGTGGTATGAACCCAGGTCATTATCAATGTGGTACAAGATTGGAGTGTTTTGCCAGAGTGGTTGGGGGGGTGAATGAGCAGAGGGGTTGGGTGTGTATGTTGGGGGTCTCAGTCTCTTGTCTCCACAGTGACCCTGTGGAGACCCCTCTATCACCCACCTCCACCTTCATCCACTCCATCCTCCTGGACTCAGCCAATCAGAGTACAGTTACCTCACAGGCTGTGCCCACTGAAAACACCAATCAGAGCACAGTAACCACACAAGGTGAGAACATTGTAAGGAGTGTAGAGCTGTCTCCATGGTGAAAACAACAAATAACGGCTTAGAAGCATGAGAATGATGTAGTGTGAGTCTGCCCACACGTTACAGCTCCCCACACATGACTCCTGACACAGGGGTCATAATTCAGCGCTGTTAACTTGTGTGGCTAAGTGAAGGCAAACTTGATATTTGTTTGAATTAACGCCTTAAAGTCTGATCAATGACTCCTCCTCTAAGCTGAGGCCCCGCCCTTCCTTTTGATGGTCCCTCCGGATGACCAACCACAGCCCATTGTCCAGTCTCCCGCCAACCAATCAACAGCAAGTGTCACAGGGAGCCAGTCACCGCACAAACCAATTCCCGCCCCCTCGTGTCAGACAGTCGCCTGCATTGACAAGTAACTAGCATTAGCAACATGCTAGCTTTAGCGTTTTGCTAGCGTTAGCTTCTGACTCTGGTCTGTTTCAGGTCAGAGCTTGTGGAACATGTGGACTCCATCGACTTCAGTTTGGAGAATCTGCAGAATGTCCTGAACTCACAGAGCTTCTCTTTTGACACCAGCCCCCTGCTGGAGGTACGCAGTAATACACAAGGCAATGCTAATTTATTTATAAAGCACCTATTATTCAGAGGCAACTCAGGGTGCTTAGCATGCAGAGAGAACATACAATATTTATACATATATATACACACACACAGACATTCATACATCTGTAATGGAAACAAAATAATAATGGTGATACACACACTAACCCAGGCTCACGGACGTCTCTGGTTCTGACTCATTTCTCTGCAGTTCTTCAGTTCTCAGTCTCCTGACTACGACCTGGACTCACTTGACACGGTATGTTATCTGAGCACTTGTATTATAGTACTAGTGCAGTATCTGAGTACTTTTGTTAGAGTTGTAGTATCTCTACATTCCTGTATATATTTAATGAGAACATGCAAACGAGTAAGTAACTGAGCAATCACTTTGAACAGCTGGCTTCCCTTCAAACAGACGCTCTTGTAGCAGCAGGTCATTCAGGCACTAATCAAGATCCATTTTTAACCACTCCTGTTTTCAAAACAGCCACAGTTCAGTTTGATTCCTGGGGTGTCTGGCATGAAGCACGAACTTCAGGTTCTGCAATAGCATCAAACTGGGGTTGAAGTCAAGACATGGACAGACCAGGGTTAACAACGTGAATGTAATTGGTTGATATAGGAAATCTAAAGTATTGAAATGTATCCATGTTGAATAACAAGATCAACTTATCGAATGAAGTCATTTCGGGTGATGTGATGAAACTTTTCTTCAAAAATTGTTGCAAATCTCTTGATGTATATTCCTGTTTTAGGCTTAGCATGTTTTTCATATGTACAAGAACCACATGTTCCATATTCATAGCAACAAAGGATAGTAGGATTGTTACTATGCTACAAACCACAGGTGCAGCGTTAGTTTCCCCTTTGTTTTTAAATTTGCAGTTTAGATGTATCTACGTCCACATCAACAATCTGTTACATAATGTACTCATGGTGAGATACTGGACTGTGTCAGAAGTCCTCCCCCTTGTCATTGTTTGCATATTTTCCTCAAATATTAACCTATAAATTTGTGTTTTTAGCTAAAGCATTTTTTTTTCTGTGATTGAGAAGAAATGTGCTTTTATGCAGAAATGATCAATTCCAATTGCTCCAGATACTACTAAACAGTGGCCTGAAAAAGTATTAGAATACTTAGGTTATAGAGTAGTATTACAGTAGTCAGTGACGTGCAGTCAGATGAGGCAGGTGACCTAAGATCATGGACAGAAAAAAATTAAAACGATAATACTTGGTCATTATATCAAGTGATTTGTGCTGATGTATTATTTCAATGTAACTTTTCCTTATTTATTTTTTTCACCTTGAAAACGCATATTTGGCAGAGCGGCACGCTGTGAGGCGAGCCTCACTTGAGATATGTAAAAGCCCATAGCTCACTGGGAGAGGGCCGTGCGCTGCTATCGAAATGTTTTCTGTTTATCGTGGTTTACAAAGTTCAAACATACTTCATTTACAATCAACATGTCTACAGTTGAGAGGATGGGTCATAAATTGTGTTTGACAACAAATGAGTCTTTATCGCGCTCAACCACGGCTTGTAGTATCACCTACTGAGGCTAGCCTCAGGGGGGCGCATGTGAGCCCAGAATTAGACTGCAACCAATTTCATCAGAAAGCTCCTTTCTTGTTCTTCTGCTAAGGGCAGCTACAGGTTTGGCTAACGTACAACACATTTTTTAGATCATTTAAAATTCACATGGTAATTTAATGCTACCAATGATAAGGAAGAGAGGTGAAGGGTAAGGTTTATTTTAGAAATTGGATGCACCCGAGAGTCAGCTGCCGCTAGCAAAACAAGAGTTTGTGGAGGAGAGACCAGTTTTGTTTTACTTTTTAAAACTCATTGGACTTTTCCAAATGGAGGATTTCATATCTGCGCTCAAACTATCTGGACTTAAAACATGAATCTGGTCTGAACTGAAGTGGTTTGTGCAGGTCAGGTTTAAGGTAAGACCCATAACACACTTTGAAATGTGCTTTTTACATACTTTAGCGTTTTATGAGCAAACAATGCAGGCATGAAACATTCTGCTGTAGCCAAACTGAATAAGCCACTCTGTAGGTCTTGATTTGTATGATATATATGTACATCTGATTGGGGTTTAAGTCAGTGCCTCAATCACACTACACGTCACTGAGAGTGCTTTACTAGTCCTTTGGTTCCTGAAAACTGTCAATTCCTGCAGCTGCTGTCGGAGCCCAGAGAGGTGAACAGCTTCCCCACAGGTCAGAATCACATCTTGCAAGGCCTTAAACTGAAACAGGTTGATGATCTAAACTTCAGTCTCATCTCCAGGGAAACAAATGGTGCAGTACACGCCCCCTTCTGCACAGGATCAAATCACATCACTTGAGGATGTCCTGGAGGAGGAGCTACTGGGTTAGACGCCAGACCTCTGAGCAACAGTCCCTGCCCCTTCTTTGTAAACACAGTATTCAAAGTTGTTTCTCTGTAAACACTGAATTTAAATATTTTTAAAGTTTGTTAAGAATAGTACATAATTTAACAAGTGTTTTATTTCATTTGTTCAATAAAAGTGTAAAGTTTAAATTCAGAATGTCCTGTTCAGACGTAGAGTTGTTTTTACGTCCACCCACACACATCAGGAACATGTAGCGCCATCCCTACTGTCTTTGCTCAGGGTCCTCATACTTCCTTCTGAATCTATGAAAGTGAAGAAGTCGCAAGACTTAGACCAGAGAGACAGGACACAGACCTGAAGCGTCAGTCCTGGTCTACAGAGTGTCAGTCTGAGATTGGAACTTTCTATATAGGTATCCTTGAGGTTTCTCACTTCCCTCTGGGTTTGAGAGGTTCCTCGCCAACGCAGAAGGGTCTAAGGAAAGGCATCAGGCTGGCACAAATGCAGCATATTTATTTAAAAAACAGGTTTGAGAACAAAACAACACACAAAGTTGTTACACTGGACTCCAGGAACCAGTGAGAGCCTAGACCTGGTCCACAAACACCTCCGCATAAGTCTGCATGATTTTTGATTTTCACTGAAGTTGCTGACAGAGTTCAGATGGATCCTTAAGGTCCAGACCTGGTCCTGGTCTATGTGAACAATCGCACCGTCCCATCGGCTCCAGAGCTGAAGACCCAGGGTTGTGAGGGGTGAAAGGTCACATCCAGGACTCCAAGGTCATGAGTTATTACATGACCTTTAAGAACCTTCACCGGAACCAGGAGCGGGTTCTGAAGCAGATCACTGGAGACAAGACAGACCAGTTATAGACCGTGACCAGAAAAAGCAGAAAGAACAAAGATACCTGCGAGAGACCAAGAGAGGCCGTGGCTACAGTGAGGGGGAATGTTCTTACCTAAACACTGTCCCGTGACACACAATCACTGATCCATCGTCTGAAGCTGAAGCAAAGAGGGGATACGAGTGGCTGAAGGCAGCAGCGCGGACGGCGCGTTTGTGGTGTCTGCGGTCACATGGTACAGTATTGTTCAAACAGCTTTATTAGCTCCCTTCAATCGCAGCTAAACAACTATCAGTTTGTTGGTACCTGAGGGTCTTGTAGGGTTTGGTGCTCAGATCCAGGTCAAACCAGCTCAGTCTGCAGTCGTAGCTGCCGCAGATCACATGATCTCCTGTTACAACACAGAATATTATGACAGAAGTCTCTCGCACGCACCACTCCTGCTCCTGTGCAGTCACAATCTCGCTTTTTGATCACCTTTAATAATTTATTTACAAAACATTGATTACTCCTTTTACAGCGACTAAACACCTGTGACCAGCCTTACTCCGCCCACATTAACATTCTCTCTAAAAGGGCGTTGCCTTGAGGACCAGGGGACAAGAAAGGGGGCTTAGAGTTGGGCGTGGTCTGGGCTGTGAATGACAGCTCACTAGTCACACGAAAAAAAAAACAGTTATCATTGCTGCTTAAAGCAATAGTTTACAGACCAGAAAGTCTCATTCCACCCTTGTTTACACACTAAAACAATTGTAGAGCTACACACCTAAACCTAAGCCATTGATTTATCTCAGCAGCTGTGATAATCAACTCATTTAATTTAATTTGAATCCACTAGATGACGCCAGAATACTCTAACCTACTACTGGGGCGTGTGAGTTGAATGCGCCAGTGATATAAACCCAGACAGACGCACGTCACACATACAAACTGACGTCACTCAGAATTTCAGAGTCAATGGAGAGGCCAGGACCAAATTCAAATGTAGTACCACCGAAAAGGTTTGAGAAGGCGCCACACAGACGTTTTAGGCTCATAAGTTAGATTTATCTAATCTGCACTAAAATCTCAAAAAAATGAGCAGGATATGTAGAGAGCACTACAATAAACATTTATGCAGTTTATGAGTTAAAAAAAGTTGATTTGGTGTTTAGTCGTTCTTTAATACAAGCAACAACATTTAGGAACTTTAGGTATGTCTGGAGGACAGAAAAATCAACTTTTAAACAGCTGTTAGTCACTCAAGCAGGGGAAAAACTTCAAGACCAGATGTTTGTGCTTGAATCAAAAATGGGGCTTAACAAGTCCCATGAAGGGAAATGGACATAATGGTCAGATCTTTGAAAATTTAAGTCATGATGAGGCCATCACATTTTCACAAGTCAACAGACAATTGTTGGAACAAATATGGTGTTAAGCCTGAACAAGGCAAAGCTAATGATAACATGAGTGAAATATTGCAAAAAACTATACCACAAATCGCAATTAAAGCACCACCACCATTCTCATCATCTGAAGCCCCCACCCTCGTGCCAGGCTTCAGCAGACAGGCCAGCACTGTGGTTTCCTCAACCACCTCCACCTCACTCATCACCCTGATAACAAAATCAGCGATGAAGACTATTCCTCTCACACTCATACTAACCCGATCTAGAGTCCTAACTTTCAAAACTTTTCCACATATTTACCTCAAAAGCCTCCAAGGGAATCTCCTCCCGATTGAACCACAACATCCACCTTAGCCCATCCCTCCTTTAACCTCCCCCCTTTCCCCTGCCCCTATTATCTCCAAACACTAGATATACAACAATAAGTGATAAATATCTGAGAACAAACTATTTACAGGTGCAGGATGAATGCAACAAACATAATAAGCTACAAGTGTAGATTCAAAGACAAGCGCAGGAACAGTGCAAAAGAAACGACAGAAATGTTCAATATGTTAGTCCACAGCCTCCCCATACATCAGGCTTGAACAAATTACAGGAAATGCAGTTTTAATGGAAGCAACACATACAGTGAAGAAAATCAGTATTTGAACACCCTGCTAGTTCTCCCACTTAGAAATCAAGGAGGGGTCTGAAATTTCCATGGTAGATGTCCACTGTATGAGAGATAACCTAAAAAGAAAAATCCAGAAATCACAACCTATGATTGTCTAACAATTTACTCGTGATACAGCTGAAAATAAGTATTTGAACACCCATCTTTCAGCTAGATTTATGACCCTCAAAGACCTGTTAGTCCGCTTTTAAAAGTCCTCCTCCACTCCACTGTATCATCCTGAATTAGATGCACCCGTGTGAGGCCGTTAGCTACATAAAGACACCTGTCCACCCCATTCAATCAGTAAGACCCAAACATTCAGCATGGCTAAAAGCAGAGCTGTCTAAAGACACCAGTGACAAAATTGCCAAGCAGCTTGGTGAAAAAAGGTCCACTGTTGGAGCAATCATTAGACATTGGAAGAAGCTAAACACGATGGTCAATCTCAATCGGAGTGGAGCCCCATGCAAGATGTCACTTCGTGGGGTCTTGATGCAAAGAAAGGTGAGGAATCATGGTTTGAAATCATGCAAGGCACGGAAGGTTCCCCTGCTTAAGTCAGCACATGTCTTCAGTTTGACAATGACCATTTGGATGATCCAGATGAGTCAGTTTTGTAGTAGTGCAGAAGTTTTGTGGTCAGATGAGACCAAAAATTGACAGTTTTGGTCATAATTCCACTATACATGTTTGGAGGGAGAAGAATGATCTTGGGATGGTACGCATCAAAGAAAATCTTTGGAGGGAGCTGAAAGTCCGTGTTACTCAGCGACAGATCTAGAGAAGATCTGTATGGAGGAGTGAAAAATCCCTCTTGCAGTCTGGAAACCTGGTGAACTACAGGAAACGTTTGACCTCTGTAATTGAAAACAAAGGCTACTCTACAAAATATTAACGTTGGTTGTCAAATACTTATTTTAAGCTGTATCAGGAATAAAATAAAATAAAAATCACATTGTGATTTCTGGATTTTTCTTTTTAGGTTATCTCCCATACAGAGTACATGCACCTACCATGACAATTTCAGACCCCTCCATGATTTCCAAGTGGGAGAACTTGCAAAATAGCAGGGTGTTAAAATAATTATTTTCTTCACTGTAGCTGCAGTTTTTAGAGATCACTTTGGGCCCATCCCAATTCTGAGTGCACTTGAGTTGTGAGTTCCCTCAACATATAAGTGCCCTCACAGGGTTTCCTTCAGAGGGGGGATCATTCCCCCCTCTAGCCATGGCCTTAGGCCTTTTTGTTTAAAAAATATAATCATGTTTAAAAGTGAATTTGTGGCGGCTCATCCCGCAGCTTCTTTCCAATGTTACCGTAAGTAACAGCATAAAGCGGCTACCCGCTTTTAATGTGCGGACCTCTACCGCTGACTCAGAAAAGCCGTAAACAGTGGCTTATGGCGTGGACTCTTCTGTTCAATCTCTAAATGCTGCTGTTAGGTCAGTTAACACACAGTAACAATGTGTCCTATCACAACTATGCAGACGACACTCAGATCTATATCTCAATGACAGCAGTGGACCAGTGGACTCACTCTTTCGCTGCATCCATCAGATATGTGAGTGGATGCAGAACAACTTCCTCCAGCTAAACACAGACAAAACCGAATTTTTTGTCTTTGGCCCCCAGATACAAAGAGAGTAATCTGTCACCTCCTAAAACCTTCAAATCAGGTCTGGGGGCAATACTGGACTTGGGCTTCAATTTTAACAGCCCCATAAAAATATACATCCGCAGTTTATTACCACCTAAAAACATCAAAATCCAAAATATCCAAGATGGCAGCCTACTCCAATCAATGGCTTGTTTTCAGTAGCGCATGGGTCAACCATGGAAACATAAGCGGAACTCTCCCATCTTTGGGCATCCTCTGGTCCTCCCGGTTCTACGCAGTGGACGAGTTTCCATGATGTTTTGCGACAAACATAGGGCTCGACCCTATTGGGAACAATAAAGCACTACTGATCAGAGCGGGGCTAGCAGAGTTTGTTGCACTATAGTGCGGATTTATAGATAACTGGAGGATTAAACAGGAAATAAATATCAGGATGACAAACACCAACTTCCTCTTGCCCCCCCTCCGTCTCTCAGTCCTGGTCTTACCTCCTGGGTGCACCGCCATGCTGCTGATCCACTTAGCGTTAGCCGTTAGTTTCTTGGTTAGCTCTTGCTTTAGCAGGTTGTAGATGCGAATGCTACGTTGCGTGGCTAACAGGAAGTAGGCTCTGATTGGATGGAAGGCCACGCTCTGTACCAATCCCTTGTTTCGGCTGAAGGGGTTCTGGCTCCGCCTCCTGCTCACCTGGTGAATGAGCACCTGCAGGTGGGAGGAGTTATCTGGCATCACCGCGGCAACATAGTCCCCTTTGGAGTGCCAGGTTACCATGGACACGGCCTGAGAGAGGGTGAGGTTAGTGTTACCATGGAGACAGAGATTATCATTGTCAAATGTAGATGTCAGCTGAAGAGCTGAACCCCTAGTTTCTTACTTTGGGGTGTTGGATTTTAACACGGATGCCTTGTAGAAGCTCCTCCCCCTCTGCGTTGATCCAGGTAACAGGGCCCTCCCCCGTGTTTGGCTCCGTCTCCTCAGATAAAAGTCGCTCTGTTGCCGTGATGACCTGTTTGTCCGTCATGGCGAGGGGCGGAGTTAGGAGCAGCACCTGTGAGGCTCTGGAGGAACAACTGTAAAAAAACATGTAACTATGGAAACAAACACAGACGACAAGGCCTCACGTTGCCAGGGCGACCAGGCTCAGGTTCGGATTGGGGTTCCAGGCAACACACTTTATGGCTTCACCCACTTCCACCTTCTTCACACAACGACCGGACAAGACCTCCCAGAACCGAACAGTGCCATCGTCACCCCCTACAGGAAAAAAGATCACATTAATACCACTGACCGACCAGCCCATTGACCGACCAGCCCATTGACCGATACCGGAAATGATCATGCAAAAATGTATTCAATAATTGAACTCTTTGTTCAAGTAACTGCAAAAGCAGTGGATGAACTAAAGCGCTAAACTTTCCAGATAAAAATGGATTCAACATAAATGTGCAATAATGCAACTATAAAGAGCTGCTCAATGTTCACATTAAACATTCCAACACTGTATTATACCTTATACATTTATTGAATATAAATGTACTTATATTAACTGTGTTTGAATAAAAAAAACACAACAAACAAAACACGCTGCATGAAAATGTAAATAAATAATAGTACCGTAGCTTTAAAGACCTTATGACGGGTTTGATTTATTTAGAAACAGTTTTAATACCATTTTATATTAGAAGAGAACTACTAAAGGTTTCAAAATCAGTTGTTTTTTTTGTCTGATCCCCCCAAATCGAAATAACCCCATAGCAACGCCCTTAGAAACAAAAAAAACTTCACAGCCCTTGGTGACGTCAGAGTGGGTACGTTTCAACGCTGTAAGTTGTTTACAATTTGGTATTTGTTCTTTTTTCGCGGATATTCAAGATGACAAGGTCGTGTACAGCGAGTCTGAGATAGCTACTAGAATGTGTCATTTTGTTGTCACTGAGAAAGTCCAGTGGTTGTGTCGATGGACTGCCAATCCAGATACTTGGGTTCAATTCCCACCTTGGACACTTTTTCACACTCAAAACGGCAATTTATGTGTAGTGAGCAATTGTCACCTGTAGAGGGCAGTATTGTGTTGGGCATCAGTGGAGAGAAGAGAGAAAAGGCAGTCCTGTGGCATAGATCCATGGTTTTCAATGCATGGGCGTAACCCGCTATGACGTCACACACAGGTTAGAGCATAGACAACTTAAATTCATGAAAAACACGTTCTTTTTATAAAATATAGGATTTTTTTTGCCGGAATCTCTTTCAAATTGACATTGTCATGCAATTTTGATATCCACTATTTTTTTTTTTTTTAAACCCGTCATAAGGTCTTTAACTGGATTTCAGATATGTATTTGGCGACGGCATGTACCTGGGTTCCAAATGGTCTATGGGGCTGCGAGCCCAAACTGATGAACTCCAACACTTTCAGGTTGTTGCTGAAAAGCTTTTTGTGACGCTGCGTCAGTGTCATCTGTGTCTCGTTGTTTTCACGTAATCTCCTTTTGATGCAAAAACTCCCCATGCTGTTTCTCGTGGTGCTTAGTCGTGTTGTATTTCGCTAGTTTACCGCCGCGTGAACAACGCTGATTCTTTCCTGCGCTCCATGCTGTGTTGTTGTTGTAGAGCGCCACGAGGAAGTGACGTGTACGTGCGATCTGATAAATTACTTTTAATTAATTTTATACGTATATGTACATTATGCACAAAGTATTTTAAGACATTGTGCGGTACCTGGTATGTATTAAAAAATATATATAATTTTTTTTAAGAAAAAATGGATCGGCAGCACGGCGCCTCTCTACGCAGATATCCGATCCAGTATTTTTTCTGGTATCAGCGTCGATATCAGTATCGGATCGGTGCATCCCTACTTGAAATGCTGCGTTGGCCGGGGGCGGTGTGTTTGGGATTATTGTCTTACTGAAAGACCAGTGGGAGCGTGTCCCGGCTCAAAACGTTCATGAGCATGTGCACTGACATCAAGTATGTCAGTGCACATGCTCATGAACAATACCACCCCAGGCCGGTGGGGGTAGACCCAGAAAGAGAATTTTCCAATGCTTTAGTAAGGCGTTTTCCTCTCAAATTCGGCTTACGGTCCAAAAGTCGGCTCTTGGCCCAAAGCTACATTCCAGATGTGTGTCAATTCTGAGGAGAGTACATTTTCTGACTATTCTAGTTTGACCTCTGTAATATTCAGAAGGATCTCATTAAATGAATGGGGCTCGTGCCGGCTAGCGCATGCGCAAATGTATTTTTTTTGTTTACATTTTCCTGCAGAAGCCCTGCTCGCGGCTATTTGGAAAAAGCCCCATAGAAGCCAAAAGTGATGGTACATTAGTTTCAGCTGCGGAGACACACATGACTACGTCCGTTGATATTCATAGTCATGTGAAATACTCAGCCGTTTCATCTTCAATTCCCTTAGTGATGTAAAGTGGTTTTCATTCAAAATCTCACGATACATGACCCCATTTATTCTTTCCTTTATACAAATCAGTTGTTCTGGTCCCTTTGCAGAAAAGCAAAGGAACTCTATGCTTCACAGTAGGTATGGTGTTCTTTGTATGCAACTCAGGATTCTTTCTCCTCCAAACACAACAAGTTGAGTTTTTACCATATTAGTGGTTTTTGATTTCATCCGACCATTTGACATTCTCCCAATTCTCTTCTGGATCATCCAAATGCTCTCTAGCAAACTTTAGAAGGGGCCTGGATATGTCCATTGAGGCCAGGAACGCATTTCCGCGTTTCTCCCTTTTAAGCCGGGGGAGCTGTTGCACACTTCTACCTTTAAGGCCGGGAAAGTGGACACGTCTTTTTTTCTTTTTTGACCTATTCTCTTCATTGATCAATTCTCTGAACCAATGAAATGTATCAAGATATACCTGTGACGAGAATTATCTGCGGATCGCTGGATCCACGAATTCCGATGAATTTCGGTGAAATGCGTGACCGCGGGCAGTTGTTTGCGTTACGTACTCGAACAGGATTAACATCCTCCGCTCTGACCCCCGGAGCAACAGTGGCTGCTTTGACAGCTCAGCGAACGCGCAGCTACAGGGGTCATGTACCGAGCACGGACCATAGACGCGCGATCAGGACCGAGGGAGAGACGGGCAAGACCCGCACGTGCAACAAGCTCCCTCCCTGTCTCTCCCCCATGTCTCTCCCTCGTATCCCCGAAGTCTCCTGACAAAGCGCAGCCAAGACTCACTGAAAAATAAAGCTCAGCTACCTAAATTTTCGCTTGCATTGACAATGCATGTTTTTTGGGCAACAAATAAAATGTTGTGACCAAATCAAACAGAACAAACCAAAACAGTCGTGTTTTGTTTATTTTGCTTACTTTAGAAAGAGCCTTGTGAGTCATTGTTTGACTTTTTGGGCTGAGAGTGGATTTTGTATATTTTTTAGTGCCACTTAATTGCCAAACTGTTTTTGACTTATTGCATTGATAAACATGTGTTAGTCTCATTGTTTTTGGTTGTATATTCTTCTACTGAAGTTTTATAATAATACACTGCATTCTTATTGAAAGCCACAAGTGTCAGCTCTTAGAAACATAATTTCAAAAGAATTTATCTGCTACAGAGGCCGAGATACCAATCATTTAGTAGACGTTGAATTTCAGGAAAACTTCAGGTTTTGGAGGGTGGTTCTGAAGTCAGCCTCAGGTTTCGCAGGTCTGTTTTACCAGGCGATGCAGGCCTTAATGGGTTAAGCAGGGGACACGTCTGACACTCTAGGATTTGAGTCCCTGCCGGTGTAGTGTGTTACTGTTGCTGGCCTTTGTTACTTTGGTCCCAGCTCTCTGCAGGTCATTCACTAGGTCCCACCGTGTGGTTCTGGGATTTTTCCTCACCGTTCCTGTGATTATTTTGACCCCACAAGGTGAGATCTTGCATGGAGCCCCAGATTGAGGGAGATTATCAGTGGTTTTGTATGTCTGACATTTTCTAATAATTGTTCCCACAGTTGATTTTTTCACACCAAGCTGCTTACATATTGCAGATCCATTCTTCTCAGCCTGGTGCAGGTCTACAATTTTGTTTCTGGTGTCCTTTGACAGCTTAGCCATATTGGAGTTTGTAGTGTGACTGAGGCTGTGGACAGGTGTCTTTCATACTGATAACGAGTTCAAACAGATACCATTAATACAGGTAACAAGTGGAGGACAGTGGAGCCTCCTAAAGAAGGACTTACACGTCTGTGAGAGCCAGAAATCTTGCTTGTTTGTCCTTGACCAAATACTTATTTTCCACCATAATTTGCTAATAAATTCTTTAAAATTCGTATTCTGTCTCTTAAAGTTAAGTAATACCCATGATGAGCGTACACACCTGACAAGAGCCACTGTCCGCTGGGTGAGGGGCTTATGGTTCTCACCAGGCCTTCGTGTCCTCTGTAGATCTGAAACAGACATTTAAAGAAGCATAACTATGGATCTATAAAAATAAATGGATAGGGTTTTACTAGTCTATAGCTGAAGGCCCCACGTGCTCTGGGGATTCTCAAGGTACTGCAGAGTAAACAAGACTAAATTCATGTGGTCTCCCCAGAATTTCTCCCAATATAGAACTCATCCCGACCTTTTTTTCTTAAATCCTTCAGTTTTCTATAAATCCACACTTTAGTGTCACAAACTCTGCTCGATCGTCCCCCGCTCTAACTCTGCTCTGATCAGCAGCGGCTGATGGATCAAGACGCGCTGTGCCTAGGGGTGTGGCGATACTTTCTCCCGCGATTCGGAAAATCGATATGCTTTTGCCAAGTATCAATAGATAAAAAAAAATAAAAAAAAAGTATAAATACTCAATATACAGTGCTTCAGGCTTCAAACAAAGATATAAAAATTACATTTTTTGTCAAGAATCAACAACAAGTGGGACACAATCGTGAAGTGGAACGAAATTTATTGGATAATTTAAACTTTTTTAACAAATAAAAAACTGAAAAGTGGGGCGTGCAATATTATTCGGCCCCCTTGCGCTAATACTTTGTAGCGCCACCTTTTGCTGCAATTACAGCTGCAAGTCGCTTGGGGTATGTCTATCAGTTTTGCACATCGAGAGACTGGAATTCTTTCCCATTCTTCCTTGCAAAACAGCTGGAGCTCAGTGAGGTTGGATGGAGAGCGTTTGTGAACAGTCTTCAGCTCTTTCCACAAATTCTCGATTGGATTCAGGTCTGGACTTTGACTTGGCCATTCTAACACCTGGATACGTCTATTTGTGAACCATTCCATTGTAGATTTGGCTTTATGTTTTGGATCATTGTCCTGTTGGAAGATAAATCTCCGTCCCAGTCTCAGGTCTTTTGCAGACTCCAACAGGTTTTCTTCCAGAATGGTCCTGTATTTGGCTCCATCCATCTTCCCATCAATTTTAGCCATCTTCCCTGTCCCTGCTGAAGAAAAGCAGGCCCAAAGCATGATGCTGCCACCACCATGTTTGACAGTGGGGATGGTGTGTTCAGGGTGATGAGCTGTGTTTTTTTTACTCCAAACATATCGTTTTGCATTGTGGCCAAAAAGTTCGATTTTGGTTTCATCTGACCAGAGCACCTTCTTCCACATGTTTGGTGTGTCTCCCAGGTGGCTTGTGGCAAACTTTAAACAAGACTTTTTATGGATATCTTTGAGAAATTGCTTTCTTCTTGCCACTCTTCCATAAAGGCCAGATTTGTGCAGTGCACTACTGATTGTTGTCCTATGGACAGACTCTCCCACCTCAGCTGTAGTTATCTGCAGTTCATCCAGAGTGATCATGGGCCTCTTGGCTGCATCTCTGATCAGTCTTCTCCTTGTTTGAGATTAAAGTTTGGAGGGACGGCCGGGTCTTGGTAGATTTGCAGTGGTCTGATACTCCTTCCATTTCAATATAATTGCTTGCACAGTGCTCCTTGAGATGTTTAAAGCTTGGGAAATCTTTTTGTATCCAAATCCGGCTTTAAACTTCTCCACAACAGTATCTCGGACCTGCCTGGTGTGTTCCTTTGTCTTCATGGTTCTCTCTGCGCTTTAAACAGAACCCTGAGACTATCAAAGAGCAGGTGCATTTATACGGAGACTGGATTACACACAGGTGCATTCTATTTATCATCATCAGTCATTTAGGACAACATTGGATCATTCAAAGATCCTCACTGAACTTCTGGACTGAGTTTGCTGCACTGAAAGTAAAGGGGCCGAATAATATTGCACTCCCCACTTTTCAGTTTTTTATTTGTTAAAAAAGTTTAAATTATCCAATAAATTTCGTTCCACTTCACGATTGTGTCCCACTTGTTGATTCATGACAAAAAATATTTGTTTTATATCTTTAGGTTTTAAGCTTGAAATGTGGCAAAATGTTGAAAGGTTCAAGGGGGCGAATACTTTCGCAAGTATGGCTACATTACGCATCTCCATTCCATTTAGCATGAAATAAAGTGTATTTTTTCTAGGTAATTGTATATTATTAATGCTATATCCAGGAAAAAATACATTGTTTTTATTCTTTTTCAAATCATATTTCTATATATTGAAATATTTTATACAGGACTAGGTTTTGGTACATAAGTATGCCTAGTGGTGTACAATGAAATGGGGCACTCCATCTGGATGTTATGACATTAATTTCTAGATTTTCAATTCTACCCATATGTAAACTTTAACTTGGTTTTTAAATGTGTTTATAAGTCAGCGAATCCTGAAATGTTCTCTTTCAGAGGTTTTATATGTGTAAGCAGTCCTAATATGGTCTCAGAACCTTAAGCATAGTGTTATACTGCGCGGCGAGGTGCTTACGAGGTGACGTGGACGTCACTGAGCAACGCGGTTGATCACCGCAAGGCCATTACATTGCCATGACCTGCAGCATCAACATTTTCTAACTAAGTAAGGGTCGCGCAAGGTATCTCGCTGTGATTGGTAGTGTGTGTGTATTGGGAAGGAAGCATTAGCTGGCTGCAGCAGAGGGTCATGGACGGAGGAACTTTGGAGCAGAGAGCTTTGGGGCTTAGAAGGAAAAGCATGTTTGGGGCTCAAGAGCTGATATCAAGGAGACTGTGGACTATCATAAAATATATATACGATGTAATGAGATCAAACTGCTTTGTTTGCTATTGTTGTTCTGTAGAGGACATAAGTTGCAGCGTTAAATGGGGTCCGCTCTGTGTGATCGCCCTATGTGGTTTGTTGTGGGTTACAACATTTCTCCTCTCATAACTCCGTAGGGGAACGCGCCAGTATAAGTCAATTGTGCTTACGTAGGTTCCACGCAACCGATTAAAGTAAGCACGCGTCGCAAGTATACACTAGGCCTTTTGTGTCTCTCTACAGCTTTAATAAAACGTGTTTATCTGAAGTCTTTAAAGGTTTGAAAATCTAAAATTCGGTAGTGTGGGTCATTTTTGTGTTGGAATTAGTATGTCTCTTTGATTACTGCATTTTGCCACCACTGGATCCTGACCTAAATCATGCAAAATATTTGAAATGAAAGAAAGAGCCTTTGTATATGCAAGCATTTCTTGTTCTCTATGAAAAAATGGATGTACTTATATTAACAAGGGAAATAAAAAAACATTTTAATAATGCTGAATGGAGTTGTGTCGACCCGAGGAGTAAGTTATTGTTCTGTGGCGTTGAAGGTGCTGAGATGGTGTTGGTGCTGCTTTACAAATTTCAGTCGGTTGTTTGGCCTGTTATCTGTGGTTTAACCCGGTGGCAGCAGTTTACGGAGAGTTTTATAATTCTCATTCTGTCTTCACTCACAACCTGAGGCTCTGACAGTTTTAGGACAAAGCAGAGAAGACAGTGGATTGATTTGGTTATTAAAAGTGCGTTATGTACAGGATGATTGGAATTAGGTTTTTATTGCTCTGGCCAATTAGCCAAGGAAATGGATTTCCATTGTTCATAACAAAAGTCTGTAGGTATATCAACATTCATTACACATGGATCTATATTTTCTGTTTCTAAACGTGTGTGAAATGAGGGTGCAGACTGATATTCAATTAAATTTATTTTTGTATCGCCCCAAATTCACTACAGCAGTCGTCGTTTGTGGATTTCCTGTCTGTGTTGGTGAACTGCAACGGTTTTGTTTAGTCCTACGAGATTATGCTGTTGGGATTAGGGCTATATAAAAATATTTTTTTATTTATTTATGTATTGATTTGAATGGGTCAGTGCATTTCCAATGGAAACTGACACATTAGAATCATGAATGGTTACATGCCAGATTATAGCAATAGGCTCTTTTACTTCATGTAGTCCCCTTCCCCCAATTGAATTGAGTTTTGTCTCTTGTCTAGTAATACAAGTGACATCTCAAGTATGTTAAGTTTGGTTGGGTGCTTAGGGGTAGAGTTGTGAGGGTTGAATGTGAAACATGTGAACCTGGCAATGTAAACTCTACAATAACATAAACATTTAAGATTAAATGTACCTATTTGCATCAGTGGCAGAAACCAAAATGGACAAATAAATACCAAAATTTATCACAAAAATAAAGACATAGTAAAAAAAAATAGAAAAGAATCTAACAGTTGAACACAAGGAGACTTTGTTGGCGAGTACACTGGTATTAACCTAAATTACAGTAATTTATTGTTTATTGGTGCATGTTAGCATCCAGGGAGAGTAGCCTTGGTCAATTTGCATCTGTTGTCACCGCAATACAAAAGGTCATGTAGGTTTGTTTGTATAGAACATTTACATAAACAGCTCCCCAAGTGCTTCAGACCCGAAAGGATAGAATTAATCAATAAAAGCAAACATCATAAAATACATACAAATACATGTAAAAGTTTAAAAACTTTTGATGGGGTTAAAAGGTGTAAAAAAACATTTTTAGATTAGATTTAAAACTCAAACACGCAATCATAATAAGAAAAGAAGGAACCTTTAGTGGGTCCCCAGCAGGGACATTTCGAAGTATTGTTGATGTTTTTAGTGGTTGCCAAGGAAAACGCTGCTTCCAGGGATGGGAACCTTTAGCTGACATGGGGGACTCCATGTAGAAAGAATCAAACTGTGATCCTTCTTGTTGTGAACACGAGTGCTAATACTTAGTGACTCTGGTTCTGTGTAAGGAGCTATATAAATAAAGATTACTTACTGCTTTGTAGTGTGTAGATTGGCATTACTGTGTGCTTCCAAGTTGAGACAAACCAAAATCTAACTCCGGTTATGCAATTTATTCCCAATCGATCGTTTTTTATTCAGAAACTAGTTGGAAAGAGTCCAAAACATTATCCAGATTTGTGGGTATAGCATCAATTCGATTCAGATCTTTCTCGTTATTGCCCTAAATCACCAACAGTAGCTTTATCTGAGAGGACTTAACAAAACCGTTGAATTTAAACACCAAATCTGAGAAATTTTAACGGGTCAAAGCAAGAAATGCAATGATAAAAAACAAACAGGTTGAGTGGGAGCTGATGGACCATGGCCATAAAATGTTGAGTGTCCTGGATCATCTACTTTCACCAGTCCTGCCTTGTGAATGAGTCTTCTCCAATAAAAAAAGTTTGTAATGTTTTTAGGCACTTTTGGGCGCATCTGCCACGGCAGTTGCTTGGCTGGCGAGGAAAGATCCGTAATAAAGAGAAGCTAATGTCTTTGTCAAGAGGTGAAGGGTAATGTTGTCATCTGTTGTTTAATATTTCATTTTGTTTGGGTTTTTATAAATAATCGGTGAATCGTGTATCCAGGCGAATCATTGCAGTTGGATCAGTTATTGGTTGTATTTTGTTGTTATTGCTGATAATGACTCAAAATCAAACATCTTTATTAGTTTAATAAACCCAAAGTATTTATTGATGTTGTCAGGTGGGAATTGGCAAAAATATGATGTTGCGTATCTAGGGCACAAGTCCAATTTAATAGTTGCGAGATGCGATGTATTACGATCATGATCACTCAATATTATTCTAAGGCATTACAAAATTGAGGTAAAATACACAATTGTCACTTTTATAATGATCTACACATTATCCAACTGAACACCAACAGTTCTCTGTTTTTTTGCCAGAGTTCAGCTTGTAAAAAGCACATTTATTATGTCTTCACAAACCCCTCAAGATATGCATCATTTTGAGAGTATTTTCTCATTACATTAAGATTCAAGTGAAGACTATACACAGACTTTACACTAAAAAGATATAAAGCATAATATGAAGCACAATAAAAAGGTAAATGAGCACACAGGAGTATTCAAATGCGGAGTGCTTCTTTTCTTCCGTAAATGTACAGGAAATGCAATTTCAACTTTTGATTTCTGATAATTTAATCCTGTATGGAGATTTTTCACTTATATTTGCTTTAAACTAGATGGCCTCTTGCTTTTAATTGTTATATATCTCACATGCATGTGATGTGTATATGATATATTTTTAAATAGGCAAAAACATTTGGGAGACACTGACCTACTTTTGTGCACAGCCTGAAGTGCAAAAATGTAGGAGGAAAGTGCAAAGAACTTTATATTGAACATTCAGGACACCAGGACCTGAGTCAAAAAAAAGCAGCCTTAATTGTAGTAACAATAATCTTGCGTTAAACCCAAAAGATTGAACGGTTTAATAATTGTATTAAATATCGCAATATCTTTTTTTCCCTACCTCTACTTCTTTGGTTTGATCCTCGTTTGCAAATGGAACTGAGCAGTATTTCTTTCGGGTTCTCTTGATATATTCTATTAGGTTATTGTTTGAAGGAATTGTGTGGAGTTGCCTTCATCACAACATTGAATCTCTACCACTTTGATGATGGAGGTCACTCCC